CAAACTGGCTGATGGGGCCTGTGTATGTGGTCTTTCAGTCTTGCCCTCCACTGCAAGCCCTAGTGTTGTGTGTTTTTTTTTAAAGATGATCCATTTCTCATAGCTTCCCCCTGGTGCTGGTTCAGGGGCTGATGTCAGGGAAGCTGTGGGAGGAAGTGGGATGCTCAGGGTTTGCTCAGCAAGGAGGTGGCACCTGCTTCAGCTGCATGCTCAGACCAGATATTCTGTGTGTTTATCTTGTGCTCGGCTGCACCCTCACCTGGTGTAAGCCAGCTCCCTTGACCGGAGGCCCGGGGTGCTCTCTGGAGATGTGGACATGGGCTTTGCAGCTGAGGTTTCCAGATCTCCCGTGGATGTGAGGCAGCCTGGGGCTCACCTGTGAGCTCCCTGATGCCTGGGGTGTCCCATGGGGTGGATGGGCATGGGGGAGGGACCCCTCCTGGGGCAGGTGTGTTTTGGGGAGTTTGTGTAGCCACTTCTGAAGGGCTGGTTTATCCCACTGCAGTAGCAGGGTCCTGGGCAGCGTGGGATCCCTGTAGTGAAAGTTACTCTGGTGGGGTGGGTTGCTGGGGTTGCACCCACTTGCTTGTGCCTGGTCTGCTGCTTCTGCTGCCTCCAGGGCACGTCAGCCCCCACCAGCATCTTCCTCCTGACACTGGAGGTGCTGCACAGAGGTGAAGCTGCTGCTTCCCACATTTCCACCATCTACTAGTGATAGAGCCAGGGTCTTCTACCGCTGGGGCAATGCTGTGTCCCCAGGTGACACCATAGCCTGTTAAGTGGCCCGTCTGCAGGCACACTGAGCTAGCGGAGGGTTTGGCAAGTGAATGTAGTTGTGGCACAGGCCTTTCCCTGTGATCTTGCCCAGCCCTGAGGGGAGCAGCAACTTCCACTCACAGGACATAGTGTGGCTGACCCCACTGTGGTGCTCAGTGCCTTCCCCAAGCCACACAGGTTGCTGCCGGCATCAGTTGTAGACACAACTGATGGGGATTTCCTATCCCAGCTTCAGAAGCAGCTGTGTTAGAGATGTTTACAGATGGGTTGGAAAAGTGTCTTGACCCTACCACCACCACCAAAACCCCAGCAGCCTGTGTTGCAGTGCTTTTGGCACCGTGAGGGTTAACTGTGGGGCTTTTTCAGCTTGCATAGGACCTGGTGGAGGTTTTCAGAGGTTCCCAGCTCTGCTTTGCCCAGCTCTCTAAAATTAACCATGTAACCTTCCTAAAAATACTCAGAGGGCAGTAGCCCCCAGAGAGCACCAGCGCTGCCTGCTCCCAGTTTCTAGACCAAGCCATGAGAGAGATGAGATCACCTGGCAACGTGTGTCTCACAGCCCTGGAAAGCCCTTGGCTTTCTCAAAGTCTCCTGCAGGGTACAAGAGTCCAGGTCTGGATCCGAACCTGCCTTTCCAGGCCAACCTGCTTCCCGCAGCACCTTCCTCTTCCTCACTTGCTCCTGACAAGAGATGGTGCCTGCCTGCATGTCTCTGCTTGTGGAGATGGTGCCGGCTTCCGATTTAACAAGCTGCAGGCAGGAGCATTGCCAGCTGCCTTGGGAGGGAGGAAGGGTCCATGGCCTTTTCCCAGAGCATCCCCCCAGTTTCCCTGTGGGCATGGGAGGCCCAGGCGAGGAGAAATAGCTGGGCCCTTCCTCTCTCATTTTTCTTTTTAGGCATGTGGGAGGAGGGCAGAAAGGGCTCAAGGAGGAGGGAGGGAGCTGAATTTTCCGTGAGCAGCTGTCAAAATGTAATCTCCTGCGTCGCTCAGGCTGGCAGCTTAGGCAGGATAAATTAACGGGGATTTTGGGGAACGTGGAAAATGCCATGGCCTGGAGGGGGCTGGCCATGTGGGGAGCAGCCCTTTCGTTTGCGGGACCAGCCCCAGGCCCCAGCGCCTGCCTGGACTGTGGAGGGATGCTCCAAGGCGCTGGGCCCTGTGCCTGCTGCTGGCGGGTGCTGGCTGCCCCCTGGCCTCAGTGGTTTTCCATCCACCACCTGCCCCCAAAGGTCACCTAGAGAAGGGGTGAAGGAGACCGACCCCCCCGCCTCCCCTTTCCTGCTCGCGCTGGGCTCCCAGTGCCTGCTGTGGAGGGGGGTGCCAACAGTTGCTTTTGCAATGCCAAGTATTTGTGCCGACAGCTGGGTTGCGGGGCAGCCCCCCGCCCTGGGGGCTTTTCCACACCAGCTCCTCACTCCTGCTCAGACCCAGAAGTTTATGCAGTTGCATTTTCATCATTTTATTTATTTATTTATTTGTTTGTTCCCCCTTCCATCTTGCAAAATGCAGAGATGGGGAAATAAGTGTGTGTGCTTCTGTGCCTGGCTCAGCCCCTGGGCCCGTGTGGCAGCCAGCGGCTGTGGCTAGAGCACGCTGTGCATGTGCTGGGGTTTGAGCCCGGGCCCCTCTGTCTGCCCAAGTGTCCCTGCCACCCCCCACGGGGCCACAGCAGTGCTGGGGGGTCCCCGTTCCCTCCCCCCCCCCC